CAGGCCGAGAACGTGGGCGGGAGTGATCTGGCACACCACGGGCCAGGAAGTGATACCTATGCGGCCTGCTTCCGGGGGTGCTCTCCACGGATCTCGCAGTCTTGCCCGCCGTCGTCGTGTTCGCGAGCCGTCTGCAGCATTTCCAGAACGTGGCGAGCAAGTCTGGCGAATTACCAAGGCTATTCGGTTTCTGTCGGCCTTTGTCCACGGTTGGTGGTCGTTCTTTGTTAATTGTTTTGCCGATCGGTGCGGGCCATCGCACCCCCCTCCACCCCCTCATGGAGTAGATCTTGACTGCTTTAGGCGCCTGTTTCGAGCAGGTGGAGTCTCCCCTATGGGACGCACTGTTGCAAACAGTCGCATTAAGCAGATGTCTGGAGCCAGAACCTCCCCCTCCCCCCCCCAATGTCGAACGCCAAATAAGATAAAACGATCACTTGTCCTGCGCATGGGGACAGTGCTCAAAGCCTTGTTTCGAGTTCGGTTTGGTTGGCACGTCGTTCTCCTCCACGCTCATATACGTCGTGATTCTGAGCGCAACGGTGGTGGACGTCCCGCTGTTCTCCAATGGCATGCGCGCGCGGACGGCCATCACGCCTTGCTTCGAGTTCGGCTATGTGCTGTTATTTCCTTTTCCATGCTTGTGTTCCTCGTGACACTGAGCTCGACACCTCCTGATGCAACATGCACATGGGGATTGATCCAGCCTTGCTGTGAGCTTGACTCATTCGACGCGCTCTTCATCTTCGAAAGAGCGTGTTCTACCGCTGCTGGCGGAAAACGGGGGGGGGATCACTGGGGGTTCCCAACCCGTCCCCCCCTCCCCTCGAAAACCGGGAAAAAGCACTGCCGGTTCGAACCCCCCCCTCCCCCCCCATCAGTCCATCATGAAAAGGGGCGGGGGTCACTACTGGTTCGACCCCCCCCCACCCCTCGCCGCTGGCAAACGATTCCCGCTCTTCGGGACAGTTGGACAGTGGTGGTGATATTGGGACAGTGGTGGGAAAGATAGTGGTGGGGACAGTGGTGTGGGGACAGTGGGACAGTGGTGCGGACAGGGGGACAGTGGTGGGGACGGTGGTGGTGGGGACAGTGGTGAGGGGACAGCGGGACAGTGGTGGGGACAGTGGGGGCAGTGGGACAGTGGTGGGGACGGTAGTGGTGGGGACAGTGGCGAAGGCGGTGGTGAGGACGGTGGTGGGACAGTAGTACAGTGGGGACAGTGGGGGCAGTGGGACATTGGTGGGGACAGTGTGGACAGTGGTGGGGACAGCGGCGGGGACTGGGGACAGTGAGACAGTGGTGGGAACACTGGGGACAGTGGGACAGTGGTGGGGACAGTGGAGACAATGGGGAGAGTGGGACCGTGGTGGGACAGTGGTGGGGACAGTGGGGACAGTGAGACACTGGTGGGGGCACTGGTGGGCACAGCGGGGACAATGGTGGGAGCAGTGGGGACAGTGGGACAGTGGCGGGGACTGTGAGACAGTGGTGGGGACGTTGGTGGTGGGGACGCTGGTGTGGGGACAGTGGGGCAGTTGTGGGGACAGTGGGGACGGTGGGTCAGCGGCGGGGACTCTGGGATGGTGGGAACAGTGGGGACAGTGGGACAGTGGTGGGGAAAATGGGGAGAGTGGGACCGTGGTGGAACAGTGGTGGGCTCCTCCTGCTCGTTCTTCTATTTTCCCTTTCCCCTATCCCTATCCTATCTCGTCCACGCAACCCTCTTCTCTGGAGTGAAAAACACGCTGACCCTGACCAAGATGTGGCTGGATCGTGTCGACGCCGATCTTGGTCATGGTCCATGCCGACCGTTTCCGACTTGCGAGGATGATCCAATATTCGACGGTCACCAAGATCAGCACGATGCTTCCGCGAGCATTCTTGCCCACGGTTCCCACTTTCTTCTCCTGCACCCTCAACATCCTCCCCCTCCCCCCCCGCAGCACATCTCACATCTATTTCGAATGTTGCTTCCATCGGGCGCCTTCCGTCGTCCTCCGCAGTCCGTCCCAGGACTACGTCTCGCAGGGCGGCGACGCTCTGGACAAGAAGCTAGAGCAGGAGCTGAATAGGAGGAGGAGGAGGAGGAGGAGGAGGAGGAGGAGGAGGAGGAGGAGGAGGAGGAGGGGGAGGAGGAGGAGAAGGGGGGAGCTGGAAAGGCGGAAGAAGAGAATCGATGAAGAAATCACGGTACGAGCGGGTTTCCTCGGTCGGCGTCGGGGGCGCTTCTGGCGCCGCCGTTGGAGCGCTTCGCACGCCAGGGAGGGGGTCTAGCGCCGATCCAAGAAGTCCGCGAACACCACCGAAAGTGTGTGTGTGTGTGTTTGTGTTGGTTGTGGTTCCTGTCTAGGAAAGGTGGCGGAGGAGAAGGAGGATGATAAGGTCGGGGAGGAGGGATAAGGGACACGAGGAAGGGAAGACATTGGAGTGAGAAAGGAGGGGGAGGGATAGGTAGCAGGGCGAAGAGAGTAGAGATCAGAAGGAGGAGGATGAGAAGGGGAGGAGGAGGGCAGAGAGGTAGGAATCTGCGGAGGGGGAGGAGGAGAAGGGTGAGGAAGGCGGAGGAGGAGGAGGAATGAGCAGGAGGCGGAGGAGGCAGGGCAGCAAGGACGGGATATAGACGGTGGTGATGATGGTGGTGATGATGGGGGGAGGAAGGGAGGTAGGGAGGTGTAGGATGAGGAGGAGGTGGAGGAGGATGACAGGGAGGCAGAGCAGGAGTTGCAGAAGCTCGGAGCCGGTTGCCTCAAGGGGCACAAGCTTGAGAGGACCGGCCCCAACAAGTACAAGCTCGGCGAGAAACGGGGCTGAAGCGGCTCCTCCTCACGATTGTCCTTCCTGGCCTTTCTCCCCGCCTATGCTTCTCCCCTCCTCCGTCCTCGTCCTTGTCGTCCTACTTATCCTCCTTGTTCCCTCCTCCGTGCTTCCTCCTGTATCCTGACCTTCCTCCTCCTCCTCCTCCTCCTCCTCCTCCTCCTCGTTATTTCCCCTTCTCCGTATTTCTCCTCCTTCTCCTCATCCTCCTCCTCCTCCTCCTTTACTTTCCTCCCCTCCTTCAGTATGCCCTCCTCCTCCCTCCTCCCTCTCATCCATCCTTCTCCGCCCTCGTGCTGCTGCTCCACCCTCTCCCTCCTCCACACTTGCACGTTGTGAATGCTACTCTCTTCTCTCCCCAGACTCCGGGCGGGAGATACGTTGCGTTTCCCTCTCCGCATGCTGTCTGTACACAAGTTTCAACAGTTATGTTCTTCTTTGTTTATGTACAGTCGATTGTTGTCCGTTCTTCAAACATGGTGCTCCCGTTGCAGCGTGAGCCTCATTTTCTGATCGGCGCTTTGGCCCCGTTGTTCGGAATGGCGGTCTCACCCCAGCGTGGGACACTTTTCTGAACCCGAGTATTTTTCCATCGTTGTCGCCCCCCGCGTTTCCCCTTCTCCGCCTTCCCCTGGCCCCCTGTTCCTCCAGCTCCTTCTACTCCAAGTCTTGCTGCTGCTGCTGCTGCTGCTGCTGCTCGTCCTCCTCCTTTTCCTCCCGCTCCCCCTCCTGCTCACCCGCTACCTCCTCCTCCTCCCCCTCCTCAAGTGCACGCAGCTCCCTGCTTCCCGATTGCTCATATCACGCTGTGGTCTTTTTGTTGGAGCTGCAGGTCGGCTATGACATGCGTCCGCGGATAGAGAACAATCAGCGCAATGGGAGGGGGATGGCGGAGCAGCGGCCATCAGCAAGAAGACGGAGGCAGCGACGCCGCCGTGGGCGCACCCCGTCGCCCCCAGAGCGCGCGATGCAACGAAGCCGGAGCCGTCCAGCTCCACCAGCAGGTCTCGGACAACAACTTCAAGGAAGGACGGAGAGCGGGCGGAGGCCGATTGGATCCCAACGAAGTCGGCTGTGCTCTCCGCGACGCCGTCAGTGTCATTGTGCAGGGAGCACGGGGGCGTCCCGAACCGCGCTCTGCGCGCCCCAAGGGCGCATTTGAGCGCAAGGGCGCCTCGATTGTCGCTCTGAGGCGTCACCTCTCAGCCCCCTCACCACCAACCCTTCGGCGCCTCACTGGGGCGTCTTGGGGCCATCTTGGGGCGATTCGGGGCCGTCTTGGAGGCGTCTTGGGCCGCCTTGGGGCCCTCTTGACCCGTCTCGGGGCCCTCCCCGCCGCCTGCGCGGCGCCCACGGTGTAGGCGCCCGCGGCCGAGCGCACCTCCTCCGGGCGGGACCTGCCCGCGCTTGCGCGAGAGTCGGCGGTTCTCGCTGGAGAGGGCTGCGGGGAGGGCTGCAGCGGCCGCTCCCCGGGGCCGGGGGATGCGGCCGTGCGGGCCGTGCCCGCGCGCAGCAGAGCAGAAGCACCCCTCGGACAAGAAGGGGCGCGCCAAAGTGCGGGACCCTCCCATGCCCCATGCCCTTGTTTGCGGCACGGCGCCAGGGCTTGAAACATACGCGCTGCGGACTGCTTTCTCAACGGGGCCGATCCAATCCTTTCCTCACCGTCCTTCCTCGTCCATCCTCCGTCCAGCTCCTTGCCAATCGCCTCTTGCGTTCCTGGAAGGCGAGAAGAGGGTGTTCATGAAGCTGGACGGCAGCGGAAACGTCACGGTGAGGGACGGGACTACGTATGTGCCCGTTCGGACGTGGTTGGGCAGCTTGAAGCCGGTCTGAGTTGCCAGAAGGAAGGAGAAGGAGGACGGTGGACGGGGAAAAGGGGAGAAGGGGAAGGATGATGATGATGATGATGATGATGATGATGATGAGGAGGAGGAGGAGGAGGAGGAGGAGGAGGAGGAAGCGGAGGAACATCGGGTAGACAAGGGGTATGCAAGGGCGAGAGGAGGAAGGGCGAATTCGGGCGAAGGTTGGAGGGAGAAGGAGGGAGACGGAGGAAGGAGCAGAAAGCGCAGAAGGATGAGGAAGAGGAGGAAGGAGGAGGACCATGAGGAAGAGGAGAAGACGAGAGGATTGGATGAAGCTTAGGAGGATGTTTAAGGGGATTGTCATGAGGAGGAGGAGGAGGAGGAGGAGGAGGAGGAGGAGGAGGAGGAGAAAGGGCATGAGTTCAACCAGATGTGGAAAAAGAGGAGTGACACGAGCAATACTGATGCAGGTTTAGCAGGAGCCTGGGCCTGAGCCTGAGCAGTAGTAGGAGCGCAGGAGGTGCAGGTGCCAGTGCAGGGTCTCCTTGTTGCACAACGAGGGGAGGGAGGAGGGAGTACGAGGTCATTGAGGGAGCAAGAGCAGGAAAACGTAATATGGGGGAGGATGAGGATCGGAAGCAGGAGGGGGGATGAGGAGAAGGAACAGCAGCAGAAGGGGAATGGGAGAGGAAGTATGTGGGAAAAGACTGGAAGAGGAGCAGAGATGGTTGGGGAGGGGGAGGAGGAGAAATATGAGGAAGGACGATGAAACGAGATGTAGAACCACCAGTGGTGATAAGCTGCGGCTGTAGCAGTAATAGTTTGAAGAAGTGGTCGTAGCACTAGTAAGTCGAAGGAAGGAGTAACAACAGCAGCGGCTGCAGCAGTGCTAGCAGTGGTAATAGCAGTGCCAGCAGAGGTAGCAGCGCCAGTATCAGAAGCAGCGGTAGCAGCATCAGTAGTCGTAGAAGCAGCAGTCGCCGTAGGCATAGCAGCAGTAGCTACAACAGAAATTTTGCAGCGTTGCAGTAGGGGCCAGAGTACCACTAGAAGTAGCAGCGGATTCGTCTCTTCAGCCATTGTGGTCGCATCCGTCGTTTCGACAATGGCATGATGTCGCAGATCAGGAGGAGGAGGAACAGGACGAGGAATGATCTCAAGAGGGTCCTGCATGTACCAGCGATCGAGTCAGCCATCGGCCCGCTTGCTATGGACCAGCTGCCGTCCCGATGTGGAGTATATACTCCTAGGGCGCAAGGGTGCGACGATAAGCGATAGTACGAGGAGAAGACGCAGGCTGGGGGGAGGAGCATCAGCAGAGGAGGAGGGGTAGGCGGAGGATGAAGGTACAGCAGAGGAGAAGGAAGAGGGGGGCAGCAGAGGAGCAGGACGAGAAACAACAGAGAAGGAGGGAAGTGGAGGACAATGAGGAGGAAGAGCATTAGCGGAAGGATGCCTCACCTGGCGGGTTGGAGCACCAGCCGCGCGCGCGGAGCTCACGCGGGACGTTGCTCTGGTGAATTCGCTTCTGCTCCCGGCAGCCCGGCGACGAGAAGGGGAGGAGGGAAATGAGAGAGGGAATGGGGGTGGGAGGAGGCGGGGGAGGGAAGGGAGGGAGACAAGAGGAATGTGGGCGAGGTGATGGCGAGGTGGAGGGGGGCACGTGGATGGGGAGGGGGGGAGGGAGAGGTGGAGGAGCGGAGGAAGCGAAGAAGAGACGAGGGTGGCAGGAGGGGGAGTGTAGGCGGGAGAAGTGAGGAAGAGTAACCGGAAGAGGAGGAGAAGGAGGAGGAGGAGCAGGAGGAGAGCGACTGACAAGAGATCGCGCGCACCCCAGCCCTCCCAGCGCCTGCCTCGTCTGGCGCCTGAAAGGGGACAGTCCTTTGCTCTCCTCTGCCCGCGCGCGGCTCCACTGGGAGGGGCAGACGTCATCCGTCGCGTCCACGGGCGTCTCCCCTCGACAGGTTGGCGGGGGTCTGGTCCCGCGACGTGCGTGGCGCCTCGCTGCGCGACTGCGGATTGTGCGACCGCGGGAGGGGGCCTCGCGCGGGGGTGGCGCGGTTGCTTCAGCATCGGCGGTGGTCTCGCTCCGCGACTGGTGGCGGCCTCGCTCGGCGACAGGGGTGGCGCCCCGCCGCGCGCCTGGGCGCGCGCGCGGGCGGGAGTCTCGCGCGGGAAGCTGGAAAGTTGTGTCGCATCGGCGGGGTATCTTCGGGATGCCGTAGGATCGGCACGAACGAAATCGGTACGGAATAAATGGGTACAATGCCCAGTAGCAGTTCTTGTTCATTTTGAACTGGACTCGTTGTCCGTGCCGCCGCGGCCTGTGTCCGTTTGAGACAGAAGGCCGCCTACCTGGGCTACCCAACAGCGGCCGCTGTTTGTTTGGGACATCATTTGTCGTTGGGCATTGTACCCATTCTTTCCGTGCCCA